ATAACATTTCTCTCAAATCATAAATTAGTAAATTACTTTTAAAAAATATCAATAATAAAACTTAAAAATGAAAATTTTCAAATATATACCACAGTTTATGTATATAACTACATATTTAAAAAAAAAAATTCTCGACCACCTTTGATTCTCATTTCAGCCCCAATTCAAAATATGGAATAACTTAATAATTTGGTATCTTCAAAATTTTTTTGTTATGCCATATATAAAATTGTTGTGAGTGAAAAACTAATAGTTGGATAAATTGATTACACATTTTAAGATCAGTCGTCATATGTTGATTTATTTCAATGGTGGATCTATATATGATATAGCTTGAACTTGTTCTTTGGGCATTTTATACCAAAGATTATTTTTTTTCAAACAAAGCCCGATATATGCCATGTTGCCACTCTAATCATTCTATAAAGCCCACTCAAAATTTGATTTCTTACCACTTATTCCTCTTAATTAAAATTCTAATGATGTTTGTAGCCAATAAGAGCAAAATTGACTGTGATTGATAAGTACACAAATTGGATAAACAAAGATTGAATTAGACGTTGGATCCATCTAGATTTTACTTTATATTTACATATTAACATTATGCATTCTTTGTATTGTTGGTCCATTTGTTAAAGACTAAGAAATAAGTCATTATTAGATAATTTAGGGATTTTATACAAGAATTATTTTGTAGAAATTTTATAAAAAAAGATATTATTTTATACTTGGTTACAATAATAAAAATTAATTATTAGTTAGTTATTTTAAATTTCATAATATCTTTCGTTATTTTTTATAAAATAATTGATTATTTTAATTATTTTAAAATCGTAGCATACCCTCTTGTATCTCACATTTTTAAAACATTCTCTCTCTCAAAGTACTTTCAAAATAATCAAAAATATTTTTTTAAAAAAACGGTATTTTTTCATAAAATAAGTTGAAAACAAATTGGCTATTTTTATCTTTAAAATTCTTATAATTAACTAAGTGAAAACAACAAAAAGAGTAAATAGTTTTGATATGTAAAACTATGATACACTTTAAAATATTTAATCTAAATATTTAACCAAACATTTAATTATAAAATATGATATACTTTAAAATATTTAATCTAAATATATTTTATTATTGAGATTTATGGGGGTTACAGTAAGTAGAACCTTTTTTAGAAAAGGTAAGACTGCAATTGTGACGATAAAATTATCAACAAAATTTCAAAAGTTATCAACTAATTTTGTATATAATTATGTGTGTGTATCAATATAACAAAATAAAAAGTACAATAGTACAAGTGTTGATATATATGTCTAAAAGTAACATCTATGAATGACAGAATTGGTGATGGGCTTATGCTTCTACTACGTATCATTTTTGTTTGTATTTGAAGAGATATTAGGGTGGGAAAGTTAAAAAAGAGACACGGACCAATATTTAGTTAAAATTATGTGTATTTGATTTTTAAATTAAATTTAAATTAGAAAATTTGTATTTAAATCCCAAAAATTTTATAAAATTAAAAATTAAAACTTACAAAAATACTCATCTTTTTTAACAAAAGACCCTTCCTTTATTAAAATTGGATTTAGTACATATGCTTGAATTTTAATATCATTAAAGTCCTTTGAAAATAAAAATCAAGCATATTGTTGCTGGTTCTAATAGGATGGGTGTCTTCATTATCACTTCCTTTGTCTCATCTACTACTTAAAATTATTTGGCTGATCTCTCTTATCTTGTTGCTGATTCTGTTTTTGCTTTGTTGCTTTCCTTGTTTTGTTGCTTTGTCGTCGTTTGCGGTTTCAGTTGTACCGTACTAGTTTATTTGCCTTAGGAATATATCAGCAGTTGGAGAGAAAAAAAAGTCCTTTGAAATTTAATGGAAGTTTCCTTACAACAGACCTACTAGAAATTATCCCCTTTTATATTTGAAATCTTTGTAATATGTAGAGTTCTCAATGACATTATAAAATATTACAAATTATGTATAAAAATATAATCCAATTTTTGTTTTGTGAAAAAAAAAGTTTATCCTAGACTTCTGCATTTTGGGATATATAATTAATAGAATTCTGATGAAACCTATTAGCATCTAAGTTCATAATTTCAAGTTGCAAGAGAAATGAAGTAAGAACAAAAAAAATAATCTATAATGAATTATAATTTGCATAAAAATTATGCCTTGTAAATTATTGGAACCAAGACCTAATTCCTGAAGCAAAACCAAACTTCCAATGCTTCTAGGTATGTAGCCAATGAGTTGATTTGGAGCCAAGTGCATAATTTTAGGGTTTGTAAGATTGGCAATACATTTGGAATATCTCCTGCATTATTGCAATAACAAATAAAAACACTGACATGAGTGCTTTTGCATATATTATGGAAAATCATAGAAATACAAATACAATATAACTTTATGGAGATGATCATGGACAACATATGTCGTATAAAAAATCATATAAATTTAAAAACCATTAAAAAGGTATCTCTTGCACTATGGCTCCAAGAACCAAAATGAAAGGGACAAAAACTAACAAAAGCATGCAAAATATTTGTTCCTGACAGTGCAAAGAATACTAAATGATGTTAATACACTATGTTGTGTTGAAAGCATAGTAACGGAGTTACCAATATCACAACAAATTAAAATTATATATAATTTGTAGATTAATTTATTGCCTCTACTCAACATAATCAATATATATATATATCCCATTCCCCTCTCCAAGAAAATCAATGTTGAATATAATATTGTAAATAGTTTATTCTAAGACATTCTAACGCATATTAAATTTTTTGAAATGATTTATAGAAAATATATGAATTTATCTGATATTATTAAAGACATGCCTATTAAGCAGTTGCATGACATCAATTCAAGTGAGGATAAGCTAGGAATAGCTAGAGGTATTTTTCCTGAAATATCATTCCTTGCTAAACATAAAATCTTTAAACATTGAAGGCTTCCAATCTCAAGTGGAATAGATCCATGGATAGAACTAAAATTCCAATCCAAGGTCTCTAATTTTGACATATTTGGTACCAATAGCCACTAATGATGACATAACCACAAGAAAAGTCATGGTTTTCTAAACAGATTGGGCCATCCAATTCCACCTATTACATTAGGAATTGGCTCCTGGTTCAGTCCTCTACAACCTTCAAAACGAAACACTTAAAGACAGGGACATCTGAAGGAGTTTTGGGGCCTGAGGTGAAATTATTTTAGAGGTCTAATGTATTGTTATTTTGCCACTTCAAATTCTATAAAAAAAATCACAAATAAAGGGTAAAAGAGGAAAAAACACACCTAATATATATGGCCATCCACGATTGGATTTCTTTATTCTTTTAATAGAAGTGCAAAACTCCTATGAACAAATAAAAGGATTTGTTGATTTCATAATGACAAATGAGAAATCAAGTTATCAATCAAGCCATGCCATGGAAACGACTAAGCAAGCGCTATTTTTTTTTAATAAGAAAATAATGGTTGAGCAAGAAATGATTTGGTTGAGAGAAAAGAAGAGATGAAATGACAAAGTGGTTGTGGCAGAGTATAAGCGGCCATATATTTTTAAAGAAGATATATGATTAACATTAATGCTTAGTAAAAAAATTAATTATTGGTTATCCAAGATAAAAGTAAGTAATAAACTCTAATGAAAATATATAATTAACATTAATGCTTAATAAGAAAAAGAATTACCGATTATATAGGATATAAGTGAACATTTTTTAGGCATAAGATGACAGCCTTAATGGACTAGTTTTACACACGGCCTTGCTGATAGAACCAATGAAATACCTGGAAAGTGATAATAGTACAAATGTATTCTTATATGATAGATGACGTGGTTAACTATTAAGCATTACTAAGAAAAAAATCAATAATGAAATTTCAAAGTCTCTTTGTCTTTCTTGCGCCTTTGCCCAACACCTTAAATATAAATAAATAAAGTTTGGCATTGTGTATAGCCATATATGTTTACCTCTGTTTTTAGCTCTTAAAATAGAGATAAATAGAATCATAATTCATTATTTGCTTTAGACTGATTCTTAGAATTTGGTAAAACTATAGGGTTTAAAGTTTTATATTTTTTTCAATTTTTTACTTCTTATTTACAATTTAAGAGAAACAACTGATGTGGAGACTTTATATTTTAATATCGATGTACTCCATATTAACATTATCACTCAAATGAATATGTTTCAACTCTAATATTACACGTAATTAATGGTATTTTGACTAGAAAGCTATTAGCATTTAAGTTTATAATTATTAAGTTTCAAAAGAAAAAACAACAATACAAAGGAAACAAAAAATTGATGATACCAAATTACAATTTACTAATAGTATACCTTGTAAATTATTGTGACCGAGATCAAATTTTAAAAGAAAAATCAAATTTCCAATGCATCTTAGTATATTTCCTTGAAAAGTAACAGTAGTCTAGGGATTATCAAACATTAACTTTCTCAGGGGAAGTTAATTTGAATAAATTGTGCTAATTTTGATAATTCGAATACCCATATTGTACATGGAATTGAAAATGCAAATCTTTGCAAAATCAATAACAATATTATATGCTCATCTCTATTTTTAACAAAAAAAGTAGAGGTAAATAGAGTAATATTTCTAAAAAAAATATTAGACAAATATAGTTGACAGATGGACCGCGTGATCAATAATAACACACAAAAATAACACAAAATTGATGAAAAGCTATACATTATCATTGGATGAAAGCTTACCTTCTATTGTCATTGAGATATAATTCCTGAAGCATAGTCAAGTTTCCAATACTTCTTGGTTTTTGGCCAGACAACTTGTTAACCTCTAGGTATATAACTTTCATGTTTGTGAGAGCACCAATAGTTTTGGGAATATCTCCTACAATATGATAATGAGAAAAACCATATTATTATGAGTTCTCATGTACAAAATGATTATGATAAAAAAAAAAGAAAAATGAGTAACAATAATAATCTTATGAATGCATTCTTTTAAGGTTATTTTGATCAAAAAATTATCATTACTGATTTTGTATTTAAAAAATAGGAAAATGATAAAGCTCTTAAACAAAAACAAATTATTTTACGTGTAGCCGCTAATTTGAGCTCTTTTTTAATTAATTGTTAACCAAATATTATTGGACCAAAAATTTCATTAGCATACATAGATAAATTTTGGAAGTGTACTTTTTTTTGGTGTGCTGGAGCTGTAATATTTATTACGGTGCATAAATGATTGGATAAAATAATAAAAAAAGTGCATCATTATGTCATGCGTTGCATGCGTTGTTTTGTGCAACGGCAAGGGAGAGTGATATGGTTAGGAATGGAATTAATGGTTTGGATGAAGGGTATGCTAGAAGTTTAAATTGCCATGATTCACCTTTGAGAATCTTTGATAAATTACTTTCAACAGTGTTAAAAAAATGAAACTAAAGTGTATCTTTTGAAAAGTATGGGTTGGCTTCATTAATATTAAGAAAATTAAAGATAAATGAATATATTTTATTCCCCTCTTTGATTCCAGTACGAACCTCCAACTTTTTGGTTGGATATATAGAATACAGTACACTAACCAAAAAGCCAAAGCCATGCAGCTGAATGTATTTTACTCTAAAAATAAATCATAAATAATATGAAAAGTTTTTAAGAATAGATATCAAAATTTACAAAACATGTATGAACAAATTTAGAATTGTTAACAGTAACTATAACACAAAAAATGGGTGAAAACAGTGTATTATATATATATAATATTGTAAAAAATACGGATAAAATGTTAATTATTTTTATATTCTTCATATAGTTTTTTTATTACTCATGAATATTTTCCTATTGAAGGAAATCATGTTTAATATATGATCAAATTCTTTACATAGTTTTTTATATTGAAGTACTTTTGTAAAGTTAATGTATTATATTTTTATATGTTGCATTTTTAAGTTTTACATTATTATACATCATCAGTTATTTAATAACATTTCTATCAAATCATAAAATAACTTTTTAAAAATATTGATAATAAAAATTAAAAATGAAAATTCAAATACCATAGTTGATGAACACATCTATATATTAAAAAAAAAAATATCCCACCCATCTTTGATTTTAATTGCTGCACTAGTTTAAATGAACATAGCCTAAAAATGTGGTTACTTTTGAAAATGTTTTTTTCCACCCTATCCATAAAATTGTTGCGCGTGAAGAGTTGTCAATTGGACATGGTCAGAAGGATAAGGACTATTGGGGGATAGGTAGTAAATTTTAACTCAGGGAGGCGAAAAACACAAGCTTGGAAGCCCATAATTAATATTTAATTTTAATTAATTTATACCTATGCGTCATGTTTGATTTACTGCCACACACTAATCAATCTATACAGCCCACAAACCTACAACTTTTTATGCATTAGCTAATTATAAGATCCAAAGGTGGTTCCTCTTAAACATTAGTCGCCATCCAATTAGAAGCTCGTAATTCTGTGCCTTACACCTTTTTATGCATCTCAGTTAAAATTACAATGATGTTTATAGTCAATAAGAAAAAAACACAGAATTCACCTAAAGATTTACAACCAATACATGTTTCTCCATTTCCGTTGACTTTTTATAGAACTCCTATTTTATGTTGTGTTTGGATTAACAAGAATTTAGATTTGGATCAAATTCCTTATTTAGACATACAAAAATTTGTGGATCCAAATCTATGTTCTTTATATTTCCTTTGTAATTTCAAATTTCCTCTACATCCTAGTCATTTGAAATTTCAGCCACTTCAAACATATTGTTCTTTTGGTATTTTCAGTATTGATGTCTGTCTCTATGACTCTCATATCCTTTTTTTTTTAATCTCCCATTTGATTTTTTTTAAACTACCCAAACTAAGGATTTTAAATATATGAATTTTAAATGAGATATTTGAAATGCATGATTTTAAATCTAAAATTTATGTTCAAATCCATCAATCCAAACATTATCATTATTCTTTAGTAGAGCTTCCCTTCACTCCTATTATATATCTATTTGCGTTATATCTGTGTGTGTGTGTGTGTGTGTTCTTTTTGAATAATGAACAAAATTGGGCAAATGCAGGTTGAGCGAGAGATCGTAATTAATAGCTTATCCTAAGATGTACTAACACCAACACAACATCGTTTGAGATAACTTGGAGCAAATATAAATTTATCTGATATTATGAAAGGCATACCTTTTAAGTAGTTGAATGACAAAGACATCAGCTTAAGTGAGGATAAGCCAGAAATAGTTGGAGGTATATTTCCTGAAAGATTGTTCCATGCTATACGTAAAATCTTTAAATGTTGAAGCCTTTCGATCTCAAGTAGAATAGATCCATGGATGAAATTCTTAGCGCAATCCAAGGTCTCTAATTTTGACAAATTTGATACGCTTGGAGGAATAACACCCTGAAAACTATTATATCGAAAGATTAGGTGTTGAAGAGCAAATAAACTTCCAATCCAAGCTGGAATTTTCCCATCAAAGTCATTATAGCTAAGGTTGAGAATTTTCATCTTGTGTAGCTGCAGCAGCTCCTTCGGTAACTCACCATGAAAGCTGTTATTATGAAGGTCAAGTTCAACAAGGGAGGACAAATTCCCCACTTCTGACGGTAAGGTGCCCATGAGACTCTTGTGAGCAAGATTCAATACACTTACTCTCTCACCTTTAGGATCACAAGTAACCCCAACCCAATTGCAAAGGGAGGAAGAGTTAGACCAATTAGCCAAGTGGTTGAATGTGTCTCACAGAAATTTTGAGAGCAAGAAGTGCAAATTCATCATTTTTGGTGACATTGGTGTGACATAAAGTTGGACAGACCATGAGATAGCAAAGCAGTGAGAACATGGAGAAGGAAAAATGAAACCAAAGGTTCGCCATCATGAATTGGTTCAAGGCCTCTAGCATTGAAGTGGATAGTCAAGAAGGTCATGCTATATATATATATATATATATTGATAAGCTAGCCCTGGTCTTCAATAATAATAAAAGTGGAATAAATTGTGAATCTAATAAAAGTATTCATATTTATGGCTGGACAAGAAGTGAACTATTCAAATTCAGTCCAATAATTAAATGTAATCTTTTTTAGCAGAGAGTACAATTAAAAGTGAAATACTAAGAGAGATCCTATTCATGAAATGAAAGTAGGCCCATACAATTAGAGCCAAACAGAAGGGAGCCAATAAATTTTTCTTATTAAAACAAGTGATATAAATTTTTCTTTTTATATTTAATTGCAGGACTAAATAGGAAATTTTATTATAAAATTCACCTATATTTCTCATTCTACAAATTTTCTAAAAAACGGAATAAAAGGAATCAGAAATTAAGAGAGAGAACATAAAGAATAAAATGAATAATAAATTACAGAAATATTTTTATGTAAGATTGGAATTATTCTGCCCCTTTCTCAACACTAAACATATTCAAGTTGACTTGATTTAACGCGTTGGTACAAAAAATAAGAGGAAATTCCTTTTCTAGACATCAAGATATGGAAAATGTCTTGGAAATTTCATCAATTATAGAACCTCAATATATTTTGATATAATAAAGAAAAATTCCAAAATAATATATCTATATATGCAATTTCTAGTAAAAATCTAATTATTTTGGTGAAATAATAAACTAATTAAGTTAACTTTATCAAATTGCTGCCAACCAAACGCACACAACGTCATTTCTTATTCTTATCTCCAATAAATTTCTTTATTCCAAACAAGAAATTAAAACACACATAAATTGTAATTCTGTACACGTTAATTTTCTTTTGACAGGGTCAAGAAAGAAAGCACTAGTTTCGTTGGCAAAAAAGAAAAGAAAGGACTTGTTTCATTTCACCTCTACCAAGAATTTATTGGATGGATTTATTGTCATGTAATGTGTCTCTAATGAAGGTCATGCCTCATGTGCGTATGAAGGACGTTGGCAAGAGATGTCCTCTCTGGAAAGATGTGATGAAAAATCACTATCACAGCTTACTGCATTTACTGGCTCCACATACATGGATCTTTAAAATTACCTAATTGCGCCCGGGTTTGTTTTTCTTTTGTGGGAAAAAATATAGTTTCATTAGCAAAAGCCAAAAATTATAGAGACGATTCATAAATCCTTTGTCTCTTCTATTATGTCAATAAATTGTGAAAAGACGTGGCAACAACTAGATACACAAAATTTCAACAATAAAGGTTATTTATTATTATTATCATAAATAATCATCATTATTATTTTAAAGTACAAATAAGCTTCACATGTAGATTTCTCCCAACTAAATTACTATATTTATAATTAACTCTAGATGAGAGCTCTTGCCATTTATGCTAACTTTATATGGCATTAACATTATTGATGAAATGGCAAAATTGAAGTCAACAAGGCTGATCCAACTAAATAGTAATTTGAAGTAGAGTTTGCTAAAAAGTAATCTATAAGTATTTAGAGTTATATTTGTGAGCATTGCTTAAACCATAAAACAAGCTCTAACATTGGAGAACTTCAATAATCCAATTTACTTAAATTTCTGTTTAAAAATGGTAATATAAATGCATCAGTAATAATTTTCATTTTATTTTTATTTATTGGTATATGTGAGATAATATTTATTTTTCTCCAATAATGAAAAAATACAATCATAAACACAAGTTCTTAAAACTATACTACCCTTATCTTATTTATATGTGTTTTACAAAAATAAAAAGTGATTTTGATTGTAAGGTAAGGAAAAAAAAGATGAAACAATCGTCTAAATTTACACTTTAACTTGAAAAATCATTTGATGACTCATTATCTTCCTCTAATTATTAACATTGTCTGCTCTATTTACGTCAGAGATCTATAAGCGGACTATGAGCAGATGATATGAGGGAAAGTGGCAAGATTATTTTTTTAAAAAAGACAGGGAAATTTTTCTCTTTTTCAAAACAAACAATCTCCTTGATTTTGCCATTTTTTCGTAGAATAAGTATTTGAGTTTTCACTAGATTAATAAAAACACGGACATGAGTAGAAAAATAAACTGTCACCGTTCATGACTTATTTTTCCTTCCATAACTGCAATAATGAGGGGAGAGAAGACAAGACCTCATATCAATATGCATGCATCGAACCGAATTTCATATAAAATGACAGAAAATTTATTTTTAATAAAGATATTTTTTCCTCACGATTATTTCATAAAGTGTTTAGTATTTTAAATTATTTGTAATGAAATTTCTTCTTTTAACATTTAAAAATATTTTAATGCTGTCCATACTATTAACAAACATAATATACCGGTTACACTCCCTCCATTTTTGCATACTGATCTTTAAAAGTTCTTACATATAGATTAAAAAAATGTAATATACATATAAAAATATGACATACTTTATAAAATTTTCCTCTCATTTAATTGCATTGGAATAGGCAGAAGTTTTAATTATATTAAATAAACCAGTAAAATTGTTGGATTAAATGAAGATAAAATAGAAAAACTATTTTATTATATTGCTTTCAAATTCAAAAAGGAATTATAATATGCCATACAATTTTTACTATAGCAAGGCCAATATAATAGAATAGAAGGACAACTAGCTACTTACTATTTTATTCATTTTTACAGAATTTTATGATGACAAAAGTTAAATTTGCGGTGATTTTTATTGAAGGAATTTTTCTTGAAATTTTACACCTACTTTTCTTCATTTATAAAATCATTCTTTTAAATATTTGAACTCGATGATAATGTACTAACTATTATATTTCTAACATCGAATCTAGTATCTTAGATCACAAAATAATCTCCATTGTTGTGTCTTTTTTTTTTTTTCCACCCAAGATATGAGTACGTACAAGAGCTGACCTGACCAAAAATGTGAACACTAATTAAAAAGATGGACTATTACTATTAATGGCTTCTTGGCTTCAGTAACAGGTTGAGAAGAGCCAAGACTTTTATTATTGTGCCGTTTTCTCTACATGCGTGATCTTTATGTTCAGAATTCAATGACTGAAATATACATAAATTATTTTTATTAGTCTACTATTATTGTGTCATTTTCTCTAGGCATACGAATTGACTCCAACTTTGAAATTATGCATGAGCATAGAAAAATAAGACAACCATTATGACATTATTTAAAATTTTACTCCTCCATTATATTTGTAAGACATTTGGAGAAGGGGTTTTATAGTTTCTTTTATAAAAATATACATAAATTGTTTTATCATCATCAAAATAAATGCACATTTTGATTACTAACAACAGACAGCAATTGCAGTAAAAGAATTGAAGAATGACATGTTGGCTTGATGGTTTGTGGTTAGAACAAAATTTTAGGAAAATAACATGTTGGCTCTCATCATTTATATCTTGAACAAATTATTTTAAAATATAGATCATTTAACCTCTAATAGAATCTTAGACAATTTTAATTTCCGTGGTTGATCGGAAATTGACCAACTTAAGAAATTTTTTATTTATTTTAAATTTATTATTTTATTGGTCATCACTCTGTTTAAATAATTGTTAATTATTATATTATAATATTAAAAAATGTTAATTATGGAAGCATATCAATAAATTTCTTTTCTTCATTATCATATTTGATAGCAGTTATAAATTATTATTTCATTTCTTTCAATACGAGTGATGGCATTTGACTTATTTTCACAATGCATGTGACTTATTTTTCTCTTCGGCTTCAATAATGACATAGTCCATATTAACATAATCTCAACTATTTTAATTACTATAAATCAAATGGTTACGTAGAGGTCAACAAATTAAGGTGATCTAGCTAATAAAGACTTAGTCCATTTTCTATGAGAATATAAATTCAAATACCAGTAGCATTCGTAAGTATCAGAATTTTGTAAGCAAGCTGTAAAAAATTGTAACTATCATTTGTAAATATTCTTTTGAACCATAAAACATGTTCTAAACTTGATGAATTCTTATAATCTAATTTACTTAATTTTTATAAAAAAGATATTATAGATGCTTCAATAATGATTTTTAATTTATTTTTTATTAATTTATATGTGGAATAATATTTACATTTTTCTTATAATAAAATGCAATCATAAATGAATATACTTAAAAATATAATATGGACATAGCAAAGACTCTATTATTAATTATCATGCCGTATTCTCTTCACGTCATGGATATAATAAGTTGACTTAACTTGGAAATAAAAGAGTATGAATAAAATGATATGAAATTCTTTTTTTCTTTTGACTCCATCAATAATTCACGAGTGTTGTTCGTAGGGAAAAAAGAAAAAAGACATGGCGATTTTTCCCTTGCCAAATAAAGAATATACTTCACTGTATCATTTTTTTTAGCATAAATATTTAAGGGTACACTTGATTAATAATAAAAACATGGACAAAAGTTAAAAGATGACATGTTACCATCCAAGACTTATTTTTCAGTCCACGAAACCATGACTACATAATGAGAAGACAAGACGACATCATATAAGGTGTTCTTTTAAAAAAAAATAAATCATATAAGGCATTTTTAAGAGATATCATATTGAAGAATATAAGATATTTTGGTATTTTGTAAAAGTAATTAACAATATTTTAAAAAAATGTTCCAATGAATATTTGAATTAATGAGACTTTTATATTTATT